TATTTCCCATTTATTTTCGGAATGCCTCATTTCCACTTTATTTTCGCTATCTGGCCCACGTGTGATAACGTTCTATGACTTTGCTTAATCTAGACACTGCTCTAGGCTGCCTCAATAGAAGTAGACAAAGGAGTGCATCTATGACTTTCCTTGATCTAGACACTATATTTCTCTTTCTTCCCTCACTCTAAACCAGGGGTAGGCAACCTTTCCCCTTTAAGGGCCAAGGGACTTCAGCTCCCAGAATCCCAGGAGCTATTGGCCCACATGGGACTATTGGCCAACATGGCTGAGGCTTCTGGGAGCTGAAGTCCCTCGGCCCTTAAAGGGGAAAGGCCAATAGCTTTAGACACTGTTCTAGGCTCCCTGAATTAGAAGCAGACAAAGGAGTGGGACTATGACTTCCCTTTATCTAGACACTAGCTTTCTATGACTTTGCTCAATCTAGACATTGTTCTGGGCTGCCTTAATAGAAGTAGTCAAAGGAGTGGATCAATGACTTCTCTTGATCTAGACACTATATCTCTATTTCTTCAATCTAGACACTGTTCTAGGCTGCACCAATGGAAGGATACAAAGGAGAAGGGAGTGGGACTATGACCTCCCTTGATCTGGACACTATATTTCTATTACTTCTCTTGATCTAGACAGTGTTCTAGGCTGCATCAATAGAAGTATACAAAGGGGAAGAGAGTGGGACTATGACTTCCCTCGATCTAGCCACTATGGGCCTTTACAGACTGCCAGAAATAATGCAGCTTGAGTCCACTTTAACTGCCCTGGCTCAGTGCTAGGGAATCATGGGAATTGTAGTTTTTTCTGAGACATTGAGCCTTTTCTGTCAGAGAGCTCTGGTGCCACAATAAACTACACTAGAATCGCATTGGCTTTTTTACTTGCAGCATCACACTGGAGACTCATTCCTGACTTCTAGGGTCCAGGGGGAGGTAAACTGCTTCATTTGTGTCTGGCTTTGAGTAGATTTCAGTCAGTTTTCAGGAGGAAAATCACCCCCAAAAAATTAAAAATTGTCAGGTTGGGAAACTTTTTAATGCTTCAGAGACCACATTTTGTAGAGCCGCATGTGGCCCATGGGTCACTTTGCTCATCCTTGACCTAAGAGAAATAATAGCTATTCTAAAGGATTGCCCTTTCTTAAAGCTGTAAGGGTCAGGAAATATTTGAACCTAGGTCACCCACACTGTGAAATCCAAAGCTTCTCCCTCTGCTTAAACCAATGGTTCTCACACTTTGTCCGCCAGGTGAAAACAAACCAAGCGTTCCAGATAGATCAGCCAATGGTCGAGGATTCTGGGAGCTGGAGTTCAAAACAAACTCCAGGAGGACCAAAGGTTGGACGTCACTGACTTGAACTGCCCTGCTTGTCCTGCCTTTTCACTGGTTTGGTGAAACCTGTTCACAGTTGGTGAAAAGCCTTGTGCCACTGTTCGAGTCAACATAGGACGTTATCACACGGGGGCAAATCTGCTGGTTAATCCACACAAATCCCAAACAGAAACTGGATTTGTGCCCCGCGTTTTCACACGACGTCGCACAGAAACTGGACAGAAAGTGGACAGAAACTGGTGTTAACCACGATCTTTTGAAATTTGGTTGTTTGGAGGAAATGCAAATGCAAAATTAAAGTAATTTCGCATTTACCGTAATGTGAAAAGCAAATGCGCATTTGGGAGCATTTCCCTGCTTTTCCCATGGTTCCAGTGAGCATTCCTCTATCTGCGCATGTGCAAGAAGCTCATTTCTAATACATTTGCAGGCTTTTCTCACTTGTATATGAACGTTAAATGCGCTTACTGTAATTTCGCAATTAAGGTAATTACGTGTGAAAGCCATTTGCGGAATCAAGGTTTATTTTTGGTTTATTTTCGGAATGCCTCATTTCCACTTTATTTTCGCTTTCTGGCCCATGTGTGATAACGTCCATAAAGTTCGGTTGCCAGTCTAATTCATTTCTGTACATGGAACTGGGAGCTTCCCATACACACACATCTTTTGCTTCAGGCATCCAAATGTTTGGCTGGCTCTCTGGCAAAAGAAAAACTTCTACATATATGCAGAGAGCTTTCTTCCTGTTGGGTGTCAACAGCAGGAGATCCATCACACACACACACACACACACACACACACACACACATGACATCTCCCCAGACACGCTTGCCTGTGGCCCACACTATTTTCTTTTAAGCTTCTGTCGAAATCCTTTTTCATTCTGCCAGGCTTTGGAAGTCTTCCGAGTGCTAAACCTTCTGCTAATTGCTCTGTTGGTATCTGCGACTGATGCGCCAGTTCTGTGAACCAGCATTCTGGCACTCATGTGTCCATTATGAAAGCCAGCCTGGACCCCAGAGTCGCCTGTGATCTGAGAAAAATAGCAAGGTGAGCTACCATCAGACTATGAGTTGCCAGCGCTTGATGCAAAATATAGCAAAAATCAGCTCACGCTGGCCATTCATGGCTTCCCTGTTTGTGGTGTTTGACAAAAATCCAATATTCTCTCTCCCCTCTCTCTTGCTGTTTAGAACAACTGGGGTTTACATAGGAGGGTATTTTCTGCATGTCAAATCCTTCTATTACTTCCCTCTATCTAGACACTGTTCTAGGTTGCATCAATAGAAGTAGACAAAGGAGAAGTGAGTGGGACTCTGACTTCCCTTGATCTAGGCACTATAGTTCTACTCCCTTGATCTAGATCAGGGGTAGGCAACCTTTCCCCTTTAAGGGCCGAGGGACTTCAGCTCCCAGAAGCCTCAGCCATGTTGGCCAATAGTCCCATGTTGGCCAATAGCTCCTGGGATTCTGGGAGCTGAAGTCCCTCGGCCCTTAAAGGGGACAGGTTGCCTACCCCTGATCTAGACACTGTTCTAAGCTGCATCAATAGGAGTGGACAAAGGAGAAGGGAGTGGGAGCATGACTTCCATTCATCTAGACACTATATTTTTATTGCCTTGATCTAGACACTGTTCTAGGCTGCATCACTAAAAGTAGAAAATAGAAAAACTGAAGTGTGTCCAGAGGAGGGCGACTAAAATGGTGAAGGGTCTGGAAACCACGCCATATGAGGAAAGACTTAGGGAACTGGGTATGTTTAGCCTGGAGAAGAGACGGTTAAGAGGGGATATGGTAGCCCTGTTTAAATATTTGAAGGGATGTGATATTGAGGAGGGAACAAGCTTGTTTTCTGCTGCTCCAGAGACTAGAACATGGAGCAATGGATTCAAACTACAGGAAAAGAGATTCCACCTCAACATTAGGAAAAACGTCCTGCCAGTGAGAGCTGTTTGAGAGTGGAACACACTCCCTCGGAGTTTGTGGTGGAGTCTCCTTCTTTGGAGGTCTTTAAACAGGCTGGATGGCCATCTGTCAGGGAAACTTTGATTTTGAGTTCCTGCATGGCAGGGAGTTTGATTGGATGGCCCTTGTGGTCTCTTCCAACTCTATGATTCTATGATTCAATGATTCTAAGTAGACAAAGGAGAAGAGAGTGGGGCTCTGACTTTCTTTGATCTAGACACTATATTACTCTTACTTTCCTCAATCTAGACACTGTTCTAGGCTGCATCAATAGAAGGAGACAAAGGAGAAGAGAGTGGGGCTCTGACTTCCCTTGATCTAGGGAAGATGTTTTTCCTCATTTCTCTCTCTGTGTGTTGTGTGCCTTCAAGTCGTTTCCGACTTAATGGCATCTCTAAGGCAAACCCATGCTGGGGTTTTCTTGACAGGAGTTGTTCAGAGGAGGTTTGCCATTGCCCTCCTCTGAGGCTGAGAGAGTGTGACTTATCCAAGGTCACCCAGTGGGTTTCCATAGCCGAGCTGAGAATCGAACCCTGGTCTCCTGAGTTGTAGTCCAACACTCAGACCGCTATGCCACGCTGGCTGTTCTTTTTCCTCATGTAAACCTAAGAAATTTATTTTTGCTCTTTACAATATCTTCTGTCTACTTGATCTTTATGAAACAAATTGCATTTGTTTCATGACCTTTGAAGTGCATGGTCATAAAAACTTTTTTGTAACCGGGCAAATAGACCACATGGCCCAGGACACTTCCTTTGGGATGTTCCTCACATAGTTCCTCACTCTCTCCCCATTCTTCTATCTACCCCTACCTTTTTATTTTTGTATCAACAAGATGGTGAGATAAAAATTCATGCTCTTTCTTTACCTAATCTATTCATTAGCTTGTTGCAAGCTTTCAAATCTCCACTGGCTTCTTCATCAGGCAAGATGTTACAAACCAAACAGGAGAAAAAGCAATTGAAGATGTTAGTCAGAGGCCTGCATTTTGATGTTTGGTTTGTAGCATCCTGCCTGATGAAGAAGCCAGTGGAGCTTGAAGGCTTGCAACAAGTATATTGTGCATCTTGGTTGGCCAATAAAGGTATCACTCTTTGGTGGATTTTTGTTTGAATTTGCTAAATGGTCAAGACAGCTACCCCTCCATATATTCATTAGCTAGTTAGTCTGGAAGCCGTGCCCTATGTAGAGCGACTTAGGGAGTTGGGTATGTTTAGCCAGGGGAAGAGAAGGTTAAGAAGTGACATGACAGCCATGTTTAAATATTTGAAGGGATTTCACATTGAGGATGGAGCAAGTTTGCACCAGAAGCTAGGACCCAGAGTAATGAATGCAAACTACAGTAGTCCCTCCACATTTGCTGGGGTTAGAGGTGAAGGGCCCTCGTGAAACGCGAAAAAACCACAAATAAGAAAACACAATTCTTTTTACCTGCGAGAATACCTCTCTAGGAATCTCCAGGTCCTCCTGTGGTCAACATCTGCCTGAAGTTGATGACTGAATCAAGCTGGAGGACCTACAAATGCCTAGAGAAGTATTTTCTCTAGGAACGTCTAGGTTCTCCAGCACAACTTTATGGCCAAATGGAGGACCTAGTGATTTGTAGAGAGAACATAGTAATCAAAACCACAAATAATCAAATCCGCAAAAATCAAAGCTGCAAATGTGGAGGGACCACTGTACAGGGAAAGAGATTCCATCTGAACATTAGGAAGAAGCTCCTGATAGCAAGAGCTGTCCAATAGTGGAACGCACTGCCTTGGAGAGTGGTGGAGTCTCCTTCTTTGGAGGTTTCGAAACAGAGGCCGGATGGCCATCTCTTGGGGGTGATTTGATTGAGAGTTCCTGCATGGCAGAAGGGTGTTGGACTGGATGGCCCTTGAGGTCTCTTCCAACTCTAGGATTCTAGAATTCTATGTAGGCTCCCCCATGCATATGTCAATGGAAAGCCACTAGTAAACTTTTCAAAGTTTGCAGCTTGAAACTGCTTGCCTTCTTTATTTTGAGTCAGTTTCAGTTCTCTGGGAAGCATCCTCAGATCAGGGCAGTTTTTGTTTGCTACTCTGCTAAAGAAGGGCATCTTTATTGGGCCAACCAAAATACATACCAAAATAAAGGTATCTCTGCTCTGTGGATGTTATCGTCGTTCACTACATGACCAACAAGGGTACCCCTGGATATGTTTTTCAAAAGGCTAATCCCTAACAATTTTAGCTTTGATGTTTTTAATATTTTGTTTCGCAAACAAGGGCTGACACCGTAGGACTTTTCAATTTCTAACAAGCGGGTGGGAGGGCTGCTCTGGGGTTTAGCCCAGACTTTAAAAGAGCTGCCAAATGGCTCCTTGGACAGCACCTTTAAAATTGATATTAAAACCCTGAGCAGATTCAATGCCCGACTGCAGGAAGCCACCACCTTTCCTCTCCTGCTGGTGCTATCCTGAAATAGATGTGTATGACCATTATCTCTGTTGGAAACCCCCATGCAATTAACAGGCTTGTTCAAATTTAACTTTTGGAAGAAAATCCTGGCAGTAAGAACTGGTCAACTGTGGAAGAAAAGATGGTGGCTTCTCCTTCATTGCAGGTTTTTGAACAGAGGTTGGATGGCCACCTGTCAGAGGGTTGGGCTAAATGACCTTTGGGATCCCTTCTAACTCTGTGTTTCTATGATTCCAATCCAGTGCCCTCCAGCTCAGGTAGACCACAGCACACATCATCCTCCCCAGCTGACATGAATTGATGGGTGTTGCAGTCTAAACCATCTGGAGGGAAAACAGGTAAGGAAAAGACTGCCGTGGAAAAGTCGATGAAAAGTCCATGATTTCATTCATCGGTTTATGTTTGCACAAGCCTTTGGTTCTGGTTTTGGCTTCTAAGCACGCAGGAGCCATTTGGGACCTAATGATTTGCACCTCAGGTCCTAAGTGCTGTTTTGATCTTAATTGTTTTCCTTTCTTTGTGCTGACGGGGACAGATTGCTGATCAAATCTGTTGCTCCTCCAAAAGGAAATGAAAGTTCCTTTGCCTGTTAGTGGGAGGCAAACCAGATCTCTAATTTCCATTGATTTATTGGAGAAATCTTTAATTGCAAATTAACCTCACACACACCAGGTTGATAAATTTGTGACGTTGGCAACAGGAAAAGTCTATGGAGGACTCACCCACAGGATGGTCCTCTCACCCTTCAGACTGGATGAAAAAGGAATGGGCAGGTCAGAGTTCAATGAAAGAACCAGAACTTGGAGGGAAAAATCTTTTTTGGACAATCACTCCCAGAATCCCGCAGCCAGCACAGAAATTGGCCATGGCGGCTGGTGGATTCTGGGAGCTAGAGTTTAACAAAGTTACTAGGCAGAGCGTATGCTTTCCATGCAAGTGGTTGCCAGTGTTATTTCCAGCATCTCCAGTTAATTGTTGCTAATTAATTGTTATAATTGTCTTTTGCTTTAATTGACTTTTATTATTTTACCTATTGTTTTATATTTTAGATTGTATGCCTTTGGCAGGTTTTTATTCTGTTTTATGCTTGATTGTCTTTTTGTACAGCGCTGTGTACATTGACAGTGCTTTAGAAATAAACTTTAATAATAATAAATGGAGCAGACAACCAGTCTTTTCCTACCCAGTGGTTAGAATTTGCGTGTGTCTGTGCCTTCAAGTTGCCTGTCAAAGTACAACAACCCCATGAATTTCATAGGGTTGTCTTACTCAAGGAATACTCAGAGGTAGTTTTGCTAGTTCCTTCCTCTGAAATACAGCCTAGCAGCACCTGGTATTTGTTGATGGCTTCCCATGCATGTACTATCCATGCATGACCATGCTTAGATTCCACGATCAAGCATGATATGGGGGTTTTAGGGTATTTAGGCCCAGCTTGGAAGTAACTTGTTACAAATAAAACATTGTCAATTGATTCCTGTTTGCAATTATTAAGCACAACTAAAATACAGTACGGTTTTAAGGGGGTAGAATTCAGAGACTAGTCATGATACAAGTGATGCATGATACAAGTGAACAAAGTTTTAGTATAAACTTTCATAATCTACTTCTTCACTGTGGTATCCCTAAAGTTGGTTTTATCCGGTGCAGGAACTCATGGTGTCACACACACCCCATTGACTTCCCATTTCACACCATACATACGGTAATCCTTAGTAATTTTTTTTTTTTGCACTAATGTTACTCATAAATTGCAATTCCCATATATAACTGAATGTACTGCTAATAGTTGTGACATAAACAACTAGCGAAATTAAAATTATACCTTCAAATTACAATATCATATGCACAACCTAAATGCATTTACATATATATAGTAAAGATCTGGTTAAAATATGATGTTTTTAAAGAAAATGTAAAAAGAATTTTGTAAAAATTTAAAATTTCAATTTTTTAAAAAATAAAATAAAATTTTGAAAGATTACTGTTACTCCCATTCCCTGCTTTAATACTTCCTAGCCTAGAAGCATGTGGTTCTCCACTGTAGGGCTGCATCCACACAGCAGAAATAATCCAGTTTGACACCACTTTAATTGCCATGGCTCAATGCTATGGAATTCTGGGCACTGCAGTTTTATGAGACATTTATCCTTCTCTGTCAGAGACCTCTGGTGCCACAATAAACTACATTTCCCAGGATTCCATAGCACTGAGTCATGGCAATTAAAGGGGTGTCAAACTGGATTATTTCTGCAGTGCAGATGCAGCCAAGGGAGAGTTTGCTGGACGCAAGGCTTTTCTTTTTACAGTATAGTGATGTTTATTCATGACAACCATATACAGGTTCTAGCCATCAAATTACAAAAATGATTAAAACCTTTTAAAACTTTTACAGTCACGGTTGGCTCTGTAACACAGAAAGCAAAACATTTACACTAAAATTACAAAAATGTGTCATACTAAACATATCACAATATTACGTAATCCATTCAAATTAGTATAATCTATTTATTGCAGATTCCCATGCAGGCCTTTATCCTCAAATTCTAATCTAAGTTTAGCTGCTTTCACAGCGAATCTGGCAGTGTTAAACATAACAGACTTTGCTGTATTAACTGACAAATAAGTGATTTTCTCCAGGTCATCAAGGCTTTTCTTACATTCATATATAGGGAACAGGGTTTATTTGTGGGTCCAGATGGACTGGAGTCTGTTGTTGTATGCCTTCAAGTCATTTCCGACTTGTCACAAGCCCAAGGTGAAACTTATCATTGGGTTTTCTTGGGCTGAGAGTGTGTGACTTGCCCAAGGTCACCCTGTGGGGTTTCCATGGCCAAGCAGGGAATCTTATAGCAGCCTTAAAGTGACCCTACCAAGGGAGTTTTGTTTGGGGTTTTTGCAAGATTTGTTCAGAGGATGTTTGCCTCTCCCTTCCTCTGAGGCTGAGAGAATGTGACTTGCCGAAGGTCAGCCAGTGGGTTTCCATGGCCAAGCAGGGATTCAAATCCTGGTCTCCAGAGTCATAGTCCAGCACTGGTGTCAAACTGGATTATTTCTGCAGTGCAGATGCAGCCAAGGAAGAGTATGAATGGAGTCTACGTAGAATGGAGTCTATGAGAACATTATCCATGTTGATCTCAGCTTCAAAGTCAAAATTTGGGGTCCAAAAAAAAAAACCAACAACTTTGTTGGAGGAAGAGAGAAAACAGGGGTATCGATTTGCTTCCTCAGAAGGTTAAAACTAATAAAGCAAGGAGCAAACCGCAAAGCTCAAGCTGGCATCTTGACCCTTCCATTTGAAGACCTTTCCTTTGTCTTCCATGGGCATGCTGTGCATATATAAATATCTCTGATCATAATGTAAAGGAAAGATTTCCTGCAGAATGGATGCCACGGCAAAACTTAGGCAGCAAGAAGCAAGGCTATTAATGCCAAGGTACAAGATTTGGAGGCTCTGGATTAATTGCAACACAGTCATGGCTGTCAGGGCCAGCCCATGACATTTTGCTGCCTGAGGCAGCGCAGCAAATGGCACTAACCCACCCCAAACAAAGCCTGTTATGGTCGCTTCAATGTTAGAGGGCTGGCGAATACTTGTGAAATCTTTCCTTTACATTATGATCAGAGATATTTATATATACCCAGCAGTCCCATGGAAGACAAAGGAAAGATCTTCAAATGGAAGGGTCAAGAAACCAACTCGAGTTTTGCAGTTTGCTGTGGGTTTTATGTTTTTTATAACTTGGGCTTCTCTCAGATTATGGACATTAATTCCCTGGGAGGTCCATCGGCAGGTAAATACTTTTTTATTTAAGGAAGCATTTGGTTTTTAGTGAGTTGTGACAGATGATGCTTTTTTTTAAAAAAAAATAATTTTTATTCAAACCAAACAATTCATGAATCATCCAAACTTATCAAGGTTTTTGTTATATCTTTTTAAAAAGGCAACAACCAGAACTATCCAACCAGAAAGTAACAAAAAATCATCCACTATTATGTGAAGTTAAGTTACATTAAAGCTTTTCTTATTTGCTACTACCTCTTTCTTGTTGAAATCATGATTTATATTATGAAATCATGGTTGCTTTAGACACAAGATAAATTCCATATTAATAACTTCCTTCTTGTTTTATTTGTTGTCATCTATGCTGCATACAGTTTCTCCATTATATAATTTCCCAGATCTATTACATTGTGTATTCTACCTATATATTTTTTTTGTCATTTTTCGATATTTTGAATATTTTCTTAAACCATTCCTGACTAAATCTATTTGGGTGACAGATTATGCTTTTAATGGAGGGGTGTTTTTATCTTATGTTTTAAGCATTTTAGTGCTGTTGTTGACTTGCTCTTAACTAGTTTTTATCTTGTGTTTTTTAAAAAAGAAATCTTTAGTTTAACTGTGTTTTAATTTTTGTAGTGAAAGTTGTTATCTTTTTATTGCATTGTGCTTTTCAATGTTGTTTGCTTGTTCACCATAAGTCAAAAATGACTTAGAGGCACTCAACAACAACAGCAAATGCTGCCTTGGATCCCAAGCTGGGAGAAAAACAGGCTAGTCAATTAATTAATTAATTAACATTCAAATCCCTGCTGACCATGAAAACCCACCTTGGCCAAGTCACACACTCTCATATTTCACAAGCAGTGTTCTTGCTGCTACAATAAAATAAAACATAAGCTTGCCATATATATATATTTTTTCTAGTTCTTCATTTTCTATTATATTTAACATATATATTTTGGGATCTGCCCCAACTTCAATTTTTAAAATTGTTTTTATCGTTCCATGAATAGTACTCCAATATTTCATAGCGATCATGCACTCCCACCAGCAATGGTAATAGAATCCTCCTTCCTTATTGCATTTCCAACAAAGACTTCTGGCATTTTTGTTCCTATTTTTATTCATGTTTGCTAACCTATATAGCCTTTTTTGTAACAGCAATTGCTTTAGAAAATTGCTGTTTTTCACGGCAACGTAGGATCACATTCCTCAAGGAGGAATTTTACATAATAATTGGCTGGATGTCCTGAGTGAGACAGCAGTGAAGGATCAACTAACTCTTCTCGTGAATCTCTATACAAAGAACAGAACAACAATCCTGTTGGCTCAGGATGATAGGAGCTGTGATCCAACACAATCAGAAGGTACCATGTTAGGCATGGCTCTCCTAGCACAATAGCTTCACAAGTTGCTAAATCCTAGCTTTGCAAAAAAAAAAAAAAAAAAAAAAGCATGATCTGGTACCAAAATCTTGGGTTAAACATCTGCCATGAACAGAGAGGAGGAGAAGGATGTTGCATTGTAGGAATTAAACAAAATTCATTGAAATTCCATCTGTGCTGGGATGGCCAAGAAGGATCTCCCTCTGCTGGTGATTTAATGCTTTCTGGGGCTGCTGGGTTTATTTTTTTTCCCCCCGTGAAGACATTTTAATCAAGATTCCTCTTGCCGTAATCTCTTGGCAAAAAAACCTGTGTTCTCTGCTCTTTGAAGGGACAGCCTTGTTGTTGTAAATCACCAGGCAATAACTCAATTATATCACTGTTGACACAGTGGCGCCAATAATAAATTATCACCCAACTGAGGATTTAAGTATGGCATAAATCATCAGTGGAGTCTTTCACAAGTGAGAGAGACAAAGAGAGATTGGGAATCAAAGCCAGGTTGGTGCAGACACAGAGCTTGGGACAGTTACTTTGAGGACTGCAGCTCCCAGCATCCCCTGCAGGAAGATTCTGAGAATTGTAATTTTCTCAAGTTTCTGGGTTCTATAGGTTTGAGAAGTCTCTAACTGGCCGACTAGTGACACCACACATTCATTGTCCTGGGTCCTAAATTATTTTTCTGTTCCTTTTGGGATGACAGGGTTGGGTAGGTATTTTGGAGAAATGCTTTGCCACACTATATCTCACATCACTCCTAGGAACACCTAGTTGTTGTTTTGCTGTTGGTGTGTGCCTCCGAGTCATTTCTGACTTATGGTGGCCCTAAGACAAACCAATCAAGGGGGTTTCTTGGCCAGGTTTGTTCAGAAAAGGTTTGCCATTGCCTTCTCCTGAGGCTGAGAGGGTGTGACGTGCCCAAGGTCACCCAGTGGGTTTCATGGCCGATCTGGGAATCGAACCTTGGTCACCAGATTCATAGTCCAACACTCAAACCAACACTCAGGCAAGAACATCTAGTGGTGGTGGTGTGCCTTCAAGTCATTTCCAACTTATGGCAACCCTAAAGTGAACCTATCATGGGGTTTTCTTGCCAAGGTTTGCTCAAAGGAGCTTTGCCCCTGAGGCTGAGAGTATGTGACTTGCCGAGGAGTACCCAAGGAGTTTCATGGCCAAGCTGGGAATTGAACCCCGGGTTCGAAAGTTGTAATCCAACACCCAAACCACTATGCCACACTGGGTCTCAGGTACAAATTTGGGGGGACAATATGAGAGGTGGCAGAGGAAAGGGCAAAGAATATGAGTTGCCACTTTGGAATCTCCTGGGTGCAGCTCAAGAGAAAATGAGAATGAATGAGGAGGTAAATCAAAGGAAAGGTGGCCATCCTAAGTTTCCATACTGCACTCAGAAGATTTGCTTTGGACTCAGGGGAATCACTAGGGAATGTGGGGGTGCGGACTGCACCAGATGACACCCTAAGGGGGTGACACTACTGATCCCCAAACATCTGCCTTTTGGTGTTCACCTGCGTCCCTTTAAAATGCTGGAGGTCAGTGGAAGAGATGGTATGAGTGGGGTGAGGCTCAGTGGCCTTGTGTGTGTGTTTTAATTTTAAAAAAATTAAATTTAATAAACATTAAAATTATGTTTTAAATTTTCTTTAAAAACACCCCATCTTAACAAATTTTCACTTTAACCATCCAATGTTCTCTTTCTAACAAAGGGGGCTGAGGCATCACAAAGGATTCAAGATAAACTAGATCTCAAAGGCAGTAGCCTTTTGTCTTGCAAATGGAATTTAAAATTTATTTCCTGGACTGAATCTCCCAGTACCCCCATGGCCAGAAGGATGCCCACCTGCATCAATACCTTTCCGTACCATCTGAACGGAGAACTACAACTGCAACATCTTGACCAAATGCAGGGCGATGGCTAACATCTTCAGTTCTTTCTTTTTTTCTTTCTTTCTCCTGTATGATTTTTAACACCTTGCCTGATGAAGAAGCTAGTGGAGCTTTGAAAGCTTGCAACAAGTATAATGTGCATTTTTGTTGGCCCAACAAAGGGACCACTGTAAATGCATTTAGGCTGGGCATATGATATTGTAATATGAAGATATAATTTTAATTTTGCTAGTTGTTTATGTCACAACTATTGCCATTCCATTCAATGATAAATGGGGATTTTATGAGTAACATGACTAAGGATTCTGTATGGGTGTAGTATGTTAGGAGGCCAAAGAGTAGATTGACACCATGAGTTACTGCACCGGGTGACGCCAACCCTATTGATGCTATTTTTGGACTATAGAAGCACATAGAGATACCACAAAAGAAACATGGGCCAAGATCCTACAATATGACTAGGATTTGAATCCCCACTCAGGCACAGAAATCCACATGGTGACCTTGAGCAAATCACATTCTCTCAACTTCAGATGAAGGCAACGGCAAAATCTCCTCTGAACAAATCTTGCCAAGAAAACCCTGTGATGGGTTCACTTTAGGATCGCCATAAGTCAGAAATAACCTGAAAGTACATAACAACAACAAGCACAACACACACACAGGCCCTCTCATTTCTCTTGGGGAGGCTTAGATTGTCCCCTTGCCTCTGTAAGTTACCTGCCCCTGCTGTATATGATCGATTGTAAGAGCAGAGGTGTCTAATCCAAGATACTGTTGTTACCCCGAGAGTCTTTTGTTAGAATATGAGCAATTAATTGATGGCATGTGTGATTTGGCATATTATTTAATACTTGATGAAATATTGATATGGATTATTGATATAGGGAACCTTGCTTCATAGGCAGTTCTGTCAGGAAGCTATAAAGCAGAACTGTACTTTGCAACAATATATGGGATGATGATCAATTTTGGAACCAATTCTCAGAATTACTTCCAAATCTCAGACCCAGCTCATTGTATTTTTACCATTAGGGAGGGATTTCCTACCCTTCAGGTTTCCACATAACTTGGTGAAATTTCAATGCTATTCACCTGAATTGGGAAGGCACAGGAGAGAAGTACTATTTGCTCATACTCAATATTTCCAGATGAGAACCAGGACATGTGGTCAAGCAACATCCGAGTGGGGTCAAGATGACAAAAGTTATTAAACCCACAAGCTAGGAGAAGCTGCAACGGTTTGCTTTTGCCTGAGCCTTCTGGGAAGGTACGATTCTCCTCCTTGTTGATTTGATCAAGGGCAAACTTTTGCACTTTGAATTAATTTGCAGCAATTGAATTAACTTGATGGGAAAGGGGGAAAGTGGAAGGAGGAGAGAGAAACTAGGGCATTTTAAAAGCATGTGGAAAGGTGGAATGACACTGGATTAATTGAAACTATTCCTGCAAAATTGGAACAATTGAATGGTAGGATTGCTGCTCTCAAAGAATCATATTTTTTGGGCTGGCCATGTGCAGAAGATTTTGTTGTTAGGCACACTTTAAAAACTAGGTGCTTCCCTTTTTCAAAATGCAGTCAAATAATAAAAAAAAGTTTTCTCATTGCCTTCTTGAAATTCACTCACGGAATATCAATATGCTGTATCTGTAAGTAGGATTTTATTAATTACTTTGTATGCATTCCATTTGCACAGTGCTTCATATGGAGGCTGACAATAAATCATATGCATGAATAGCAATCTCAGCTCTCAAAGTATTTGTCCTAACATTGCCAGACTAGCAGCATATAGACTCAGAATGGAGATACCAAAAGGTTCAGAGGGATCTGACGTTTTCAGAACTGGGGAGAGACATTGAGCTCAGTGAGCATCATTACCACTGAGCATGCTAATAGGACATTTGGGATGATGATGGGAAACTAGCAAAGTTGGGAGGGAAATGAAGTGTCCTAGGAGAGAATACAGCTGAATGGGAACAAACGCTCAGTACTGCAACATTTTAAGGCAGTTTCCTTAAAGGCAGAGATTGGATTTGAAGGGATGTGCATTTGGAGTCTCCCCTGGATAATTTTCTCCAGGTCAACTGGATGTTTCCCAAGACAAGTGGCTCCTCTTCATCTTGGAGAGAAGTGACCAGTGGGGTGCCACAGGGGTCTGTCCTGGCACTATTCAACATCTCTATCAACAACTTGGATGAAAGAATAAAGGGGATGCTTATCAAATTTGCCGATGACACCAAATTAGGAGGAATAGCTAATATCCAAGAGGAGGGGATCAACATTCAAAATGACTTTTAACAGATTAAAAGTTGGGACACAATTAACAATATGAAATTCAACATGAAGAAATGTAAGGTATTACACCTAGGCAGAAAAATTAAAGGCTACAAGAGGATGTGTGACACCTGGGCTGACAACAGTACATGTGATCTGGAAGTCTTAGTAGACCACAAGCTGAACATGAGTCAAGATGTGATGCTGCAGCAAAAACAGCCAATGGAATTTTAGGCGGCATTAATAGGAGTACAGTGTCTAGATCAAGGGAAGTAACAGTGCCACTCTATTCTGCTTTGGTCAGACCTTACCTGAAATACTGTGTCCAGTTCTGGGCACCACATTTAAAAAAAGGATGTTGGAAAGCTGGAGCGTGTCCAGAGGACGGTGATGAAAATGGGTGACGGTTTGGAAACCACAAAGCCCTATGAGGAAAGACTTAGGGAGCTGGATATGTTTAGTCTGGGGAAGAGAACCTTAAGGGGTTACATGATAGCCTGTTTAAATATTTGAAGGGATGTCATATTGAGGATGGAGCAAGCTTGTTTTCTGCTGCTCCAGAGAATAGGACACAGAGCAATGGATGCAAGCTACAGGAAAAGAGATTCCACCTCAACATTAGGAGGAATGCCCTGATAGCAACAGCTATTGGACAGTGGAGTATACTGCCTCAGAGAGTGGTGGAGTCTCCTTATTTGAAGGTCTTTAAACAGGGGCTGGATGGCCATCTGTTGGGGATGCTTTGATTGTGAGTTCCTGCATGGCAGAATGGGGTTGGACTGGATGGCACTTGTGGTTTCTTCCACCTCTATGATTCTACAAGCACAATACAGGATCTCAGCCATGGTCTGCAATTTTGTTCCTGTCTTGTAGATGCTGCAGAAGCTTGGCAGCAAAGGGGAGAAATCTGCCTTCTGAAGGCAATTAACCTTTGAAAAATCCCTTTGGATAGGAAGGGGAGGGTGAAAGACTTTTCTCAAAAGTCTTTCTGGCCTAATTGTGGACATTTGTCAAAGTCAACAAGGAAGTTAATCTGGAGTCAGGGGAAACAAGCAAGAATCACCACTGAGGACCTTATCACACGGGGCTCAATGCAGACAGAATCCAAACAAAATCTCGACCTAATATGTATTATTTTTCCGTGTGTCCACACGACATCGCATAGAACCCCGACAGAACCCCGACAGAATGCAGAAAGAACCGAGATCTTT